TATGGGAGATGGTTGTCATCTTCTCCGGGGTCACCGGCGAGCTCGGGCTGCAGGCTCCCTCTGCTCCCACCATCACACATCAGCCATTTTAGAGGTTGAAAGCCTCGACGGGGGACCGAGGCAACCTCAATTAAACCTCCATTAATATTAATACATTTTGTCGTTTCACGTGAGCTGCTGCTAATTAAATGTGTCCCTGGCTGTATAATGGGGGTCAGCCGGGGTCTCGAACATGAAGCTAATTCACCACATTACAGCAACAAAACACGAGTCTGAATCAAGACTTAACTACAGCAAGAGAAGASGACAGTTTCATTACATTATCTTTATTCCACCAGATAAAAAAAAAAATTGAGATCAAGATTGCTTTTACAAGAGTGACCTGACCAAGACGTCAGAAGCACACACTTGTCCACATTGTTGCTCTTAATATTCACACATAAAGTTTTTAACTAAAAATAATCTCAAACATTTCTTTGTGCTTCATGCTAAAACTTTCATCCCGCTGACATTTCCATATGACAAGATTATCCTGACAGAAATAATAGATTATTCCTGCTGGAAGAATATTTTCCATAGAAACACAACAAGAGATCTTTATTTCCCCCACAAACATTCTGAATTATAATTTTTTCTTCTTTATTCTAATTTCAGCCAGACTAGCTTAAATTCTCTCAGCTGTGGTTTTGTCATTTCTAGTTTTTAGTGACAATTTTGCTATTTTAAGCTTTTAGTTACTATTCTTTAGATTTAGGGTTTTAGCTATAGTTTTGGCATTTTACTCTTTATTTACAGTTTTGTTCATTTTAACTTTTAGCTGCTGTTTGGCTAAATTTAACTGTTCGATATTTCTCACTTATTTTTTGCTCTGCTTGTTTCGTTTTACAAACTACAAATTTAGCAGTCACTTAGTTTTGTTTGTGAGCATTTTTGCAGAAAATGACCATTTTTCCAGTTCATCACATGCTTTTCCCAGAAGGTTTAAAATACAAACGAAAAACTATTGAATTAATAAAATTGGAGGAGGGATTTCTCAGACTTGACTCCTGTTGGTGTTGGTCTGCATTCTTGAATTCATTTCTGTATGGTTACAAGAGATGATTTGTTGTTGACCAGGGAGATTAGCCAGACCTGCAGTGGAAGGTCATATAACAGCCCCAGATGTCCAATCTAATCATTTTTAATGTATCACAAAGGGCAAAATGTGCACGCACACACTGGACTGCACTGTCATGCTGCCTTTTACCAACTGACTACACAGGTTATTAAAACTCTGCAAGTTGTTTTGTGCAGAGACATTTATCCACTTTGTACATTTGATGATGAAAGTCTAAAGCCCTGACATCTGCTGGACACGACTCAAACAGAAACAATAAAGGCTAAACTCCACTTGTGACCGGCGCCACCGAGCCAAACCTCCTAAAGCTGCTCCCTGATGTGTGCATGGATGGAAGGCACTCGGCATGACCTCATCTGCAGAGATCCACAATGAAATGAAGCAGTAATAACGCCAGGGTTGTTTTGTTTGCATGCAGTGAGCTCAGGAGCTGAAGCCAGCTTGACCCACTCATGCTGGACTGTAGCCAGAGCCGGTACAGTCAGGATCCTCCCCTCCCCTGCAGGATCGAGTTAGCACTTTCTCTGAAACACTCACATCCACATGTGGCTCTCTGCAGTAGCTGAGCCACTGATGTTTGTTTAGCTGCACTCCAAATGACAGCAGCTCAGAGCTGCAGGCAGGATTAAAGRCTGGATTCAGTCTGAAACACCACGTCCCAGCTGACTCTGCTCTGCTTTAACTTCTTTTTCCCTCTCATGTTGTTTCTCCCGTTCTACATAAAGGCCGTCTCTGACTCCTGAACACCTCGCACCTTTGCTCCTCTTTCTGCCTTTGCCAATCCCCCTCTGGCTATTGAGTGTCCAGGCAAATGATTTTTCCTCCCTGCCTGGAGGGGGTCAGAGTTGAGCTCAGCACTGCGTGATGAAATCGGCTGAAGGCCTCTGCTCTTCTGCGTCCAAGGACATGGAGCTACGCTTGTACCGTTCTGCTGTCAATCCATCACCTGCCACAGCAAAACGGGAGAGGAATACTCGTGTGCATATATGAGCGCATTCAATACTCTGAGGGTGTCTGCCGATTGAATTAGGCTGTAGATCAGCGCTGACAGGACTGAGGCTGTCATTAGAAGGGGTACGGGCTGATTTCTGGGGTCATGGTCCTGTGGCTTGTGTGGGCGAGTGGCAGAAATGTCCTCGAGTTACAGATTAGTCTGCAAATTGAAGTGTAGAAACCCGCGGGGTGAAACTTCGACACAGGTTGGAACGACAATCACAGAGAGTGACTTCAACGCATATTAACAGTGGGTTGTGAAAGTACTCGCTCCTCGTGGTGATTTGTCCATTTTGTTGCTTTRAAATCTGAAATTAAAACGAATAAATAATAAGTCTACAACAATTCTTTAAGATTATTGAAATTCAATGGGAAAAAATATTTAAATAATCCCAAAAAAAGCATAAAATTAAGAAACAGAATGCATTCTGCAGTCAAAACTCAACACTTTGTGTCGTCATTGCCTCTTGCAGCAGTCAAAGCATCATGTCTCTTCAGGTTCGTCTCCAAGATTTTAGTCCATCTAATCTCTGGACATGTTGTCCATTATTCATGTCCAAAGCGTGTCCAGTTCCTTCAGCTTGGATGGGTGCTGCTTGTGTCCAGCAATCTTTGACTCAAAACAGTGATTCTCAGTTGGATGGAGGTCTAACTTTTACTGAACCGTTCCAGGACATTTAACCCTTACGTGGTATTTTTTGAGTCATTGTCCTGCTGGAAGCTGAACCTTCGCTCCATCTCTGTAAGACTACAACAAGGTTTCCAATAAGAAATTCCATGTAGTTTTGCTCCATCTATTTTTTGTTTAACTCTGGTCAGTTTCCCAGTCCCTGCTGGTAAAAAACACCCCCACAGCATGATGCTGCCACCATCATGCTTCACTGTAAGGCAAGGGGCTCCTGGCATGATGAGAAGTTTAACTGTTCAATTGAAATTTACAGTTTGTAAGTGGGAAAGTCCCACTTCCCAGTACAACTGGGTCACAGCACAAGTATTCAGCGAAAATTCAGCTGAATAAAGATTTTACAATTTTACACAGCCAATTACGCAGACTACTTTTGAGCCCTGTGTACCTCTTAGTTGTGAGATGCTGTCCTTTTATGGGTAAAATAACCAGCATGCATTGTGGGACATGTCGTTTATGGAGTTTAAAGCAACGTATGTTTATTTTAAGACATCTATGAAGATCTCGTGGGCCATTATGTTATGGCAGGCCACATTTGGCCTTACAGGCCTTGAGTTTGACAACTGTGATGTAGCCCAAACCTGTGCAGATTATTGTGGTCCTGTGGACAGATCCATCTTTGCAGAAAGGCAGCAGCTCCATCAGGGCTGTCTGTGGCCTTCTGGATGTTTCTCCTATTAATGTATTGTTCGATACAAGTGTGTATTGAACCTAAAGCACTGTTCGATACGGTTCAATACGGGTACATGTATCGTTGCACCCCTAATATCTTCACAGCATTAAGAGTATTTTTGACAATTTTGATCAATTTGGACCCAGGTCTTTGTTTTAAATTGTGACATGCGTGTTGAATGTTTTCCACTGAACCCCACTTTAAAAGCATCAGGTTGTGTCTTTGTTAAAACATGCTCATGTTGCTCTGCTCTGCGTGTGGTCCGTCCTCATGAGGACAGGGCATCGTGTTTTGATTTTTAACGAGAAGCATCACCTGTGTGCGCAACAAGTGGAAACTCTGCTCTGGGGATGTGCCTCACACTCCTGTTGATTTCTTTTTAATGACGAGCCACACTGTGTGTGTGTGTGTGTGTGTGTGTGTGTGTGTGTGTGTTGGACGGAAGGATGTGCTGGTTCTGTTTGAATGCACCCCACGCACTGGACTCCTGCAGTGCAGGAATAAAAAAAACAGGTCCTTTGCAGACAAAGTGGGCTGTTAGTTTGAACCCCCTAACKCCCCCACCCGGCTATGGGCCAAACCCTGATCTTTTATGCAGTCACTGACCCTTGCAGAGCCCTTTGGGCTTCATGATTTCTTCACCTTGGCTGTAGCTCTCAAGACTTAGACCCTGTTTACACAACACCAGTTTTGAGTGAAACTGTTGCATTTCTACTGCAGTTCCATCATTTGTGTATGCAACAGGTCTTGTTTCTTCTGAAAACAAATGATTCTTTGAATCCAGGTCTCGAAGGTGGGTTTTCGAAAGCAACCCGTGAAGTTATACACAGAAAAGATGGCTGCAATCCAAACGTTTTCCTGCACTTGACTGGATGAACAACAGTAACTATAGTGGATAACAGAGTGCTGATTGTGCTGCTCATCATTTTCAACACGTAGGAGTGACCCAACCTCATCCTGGGTCCAAACTAAGGTTTGTGTATTTGCTATTTTGGATGTATCAGTTTTCATGCTCTTGAACGRTCTGCTGTGGGTCAGTGATTCACCTCAGTCAACAATGAAACACAAACATTTCCAGATTGCTCACATGTAAAYGGGGCTTTAGTGGTGTTGAAGTGGTGTCAAATCTGGGGGCAAATTATGCTTCTACTGAAGGAAAGGCTTAGGCTTCAAAGCAAAAGGTGTAAATACATAGAAATACTGTAATACATTCATAATGTATGCACTTTTATTTTTTAAATTTGTATTTTTCTCAATTTTACTTCAACACACACACACCACCTTCCTAAAACTTAACCAAAAGTGTCCCAGATGGCCTTTTATTGAGATTCCCGACAAACTTAAATTTAAGGAAGGTGTCTGTCGATATGGAGTATTTTTTTTTTGAGAATTACTTTTAATCACATACAAAATCCAGCTGCAGCTAAATAAAAAAAGATTACCAAAAGGAGAGAATACTTTTTCAGCTCACTGCATTTGTCTGGTTTTYAAGTTCATTCCAGCAGATAAGAGCATAAATAATCACAACAGTCTGGTTTATAAAAATGAAATATTTTAATTGGTGGCTTGATGATTCATCTTTGCAATCGTAGGAAACAAACCCAGAAAAATGCGTACACGGGAGGGAGGCAGACAAACTGCACACAAATAAAAAATAAATCCCTTTCAGACTCTTTAACACGCTTTAAAGGAGGACGATGCTAGCGATACCTGTTTGTTCATTTTCACAAAGGAGACAACACATCAAATAAACACATGGATGAAACAAACAAACAAAAAAAATTGCCTTTTACAGCATCAGCTTCTGGAATGATGTCAGTAATAGCTTTTTCCACACGCTGTTTTTTTTTCTGAGGACCACTTTGAAACGGGAGCGCTTAAAATAACGATCAAAATAAAAAAAGGGGAGAAAAAAATTGAGTTTTCCTTTCGACCCACAAACGCAGTCACATATCGGTTTGGAGTCCAATCACAGACTGATGCAAGTCTGACACTTAAAAAGTAATTTGTGGGCACAATAAAGCTGGGACCTGCAGTGTTTTCAAGTCACCATTAAAAAAAAAAAAACAACAACATAAAAACTGACTTGGAAGCYGATACAGAAAAGGAGGATCCCTTGTCCTCGTATCCATTTCTCTGTCTTTATTGCATTACTTTGAAAAGCTACACTAAAAGAAGGGCGAGGACTCTGGATCAGTCCCGCTGCCTTTCATCCAAACCTCTCTTCTCTCCTTCCCATCATGATTTACTCCCGATTAAAAAAGGAGCTGATCACACAACAAGGGGAGGATCCAGTGTGATCAGCTCAAATATAACCAGATGGTTGGGTTGTTAAAAGTTACATCATGGTTTGTGAGGACAAAAGAAGTAGGTTGGCTTCATTCATCACGTAATGACACTGAACTCGAGCTACATTCAGATTAAATTAAATGGTTCATGTCCAAACTTCTCCAACCCAGTAATAAATCTGAATCAAACAAGCAAAAACACTTTCTTTTTATGTTAAATATATATAAATATATATAGACATCCAATAAATATAATTCATTTTGCAGCCGAACAAATGTTGATTATGACCACATGTAGCCGATTCTTCTACCTTAGATTCCTAAACACAAGCTGATCACTTTAAATATCGATTATACGCCTGAAACTAATTTGCACTCTGTGTTTTTCTAACCAGATAAGTCCGCCTGCAGTAATTGGCTCCTGTTGCTCTTCGACAAACAATCATTGGCCAAACACGGACGAATGCCAAAAGATTTATTTTAGCTTCCCTGAACTCAGCCTGGATTACCTGCAGCTGACAAACAGCTTCACTGCTGTGATTTTTTATCAACGCAAAACATTCTTTTCTGATTTATTTCAAGTTTCTTTGCAGGAAAACATGTTTTTTTTTTGATGCATGTTGTGACTCCTAACGAAATGTGAAATCTAAACCATCTATTTGCTTGCAAAATATTTCAACTTCTACATGTGGGGCCTGAGTAAACGTCTGTCTGCTCAGGTAAATAAGTTGAGCTCTGAGGAATCACAGGAGATATGACCTGCAGCGGGATAACAGAGTGAAAACAAAAAGAAGGGATGTTGAGATTTCCCTTTTTGTTATCCCCTGCTGTTAAAAACGATTGGGCTGATTCTTTTGCCTGCGTTTGTCAGCAAAATATCTCATGAACCACTGGATGGACTTTACAGAATCTCTCAGAAAGAATGCACATCGAACTCGTTAACTTCTGGAGCCAGAAATGGATTTAACTCCGTCAATCTTACAGTTATCAAACTAAATTTGGTGTGGTAGTAGCTGAGAGTCATTCCTAACATATCCTCCGATTGTATGCGGGTTTTGTTTTTTAACGTTGGCGTTACCTATTACAGTCAACTCTGTTAGCAAAATATCTCACGAACCTCTTGATGGATTTTAAGGAACTTCTCCGAAAGTAATCATCAGCTGAACGTCTGCAACTCATTCAACTTTTGTAGACTCAGCTAATCAAATATCTATCTCAGTCAAATTCACAGATCATGAACTAAAATTTGATGCAACAGTAGCCGAGAGTCGGCCTCAAAACATCTCTTGCATGAAATCGCAAAATATAATTTACACGATGAGATTAAAACAGATAAAAGTCCTCATTTCTCATCTTAAGACTGTAGTTTAAAAAGTCTGGTTTGAATGGATATGCATTCCTTCAGTTCTTTTAATTTCAAATATTCTGAGTGTATTTGTGCTGAGCTTATAAACGGATGGAATTAAAAATAAAGGATGATGAAATAAAATGAATTACAAATTTAAACGGGCGTAGTGATTCAGGCCTGGTCGTGTCATGGGAAGGAGAGACGAGAACGACGGGAGGAAGAATAAAAAGGAGGGGCTTGCATCACGGTGACGGTCACGCATTTGAGTCATGCTGTTGATGCATCACCTTTCACCTCAAAAAACAACAAAACAAACAAAAAACAAACAAACAAAAAWAATTGGTCATGAAACAAATCATTCGCAAAACATCCTCTGTCGGTCATTCACACTATTTACAGAAGCATACACTGATCTGGCATACTGTACACACTATTTACACACATACACACACTCAGATTTACGAGTAGTCAAAGAAATTACTGTAGTATAATGCCAACGTAATATCTGGCACTAATTATGTTGACTATGATCCCGGTACACAGAGGCACTGCTACCTCGCCCCGTCTGCTCTTCAGGGTGAAACCAACGACAAACTACGGGTCACCAGAGCTGTGTTTGCCCTTTAAGGTGGGGCCGAGGACCGTATGAGATTGCTGCTTTTACAACGCAGTCTGAAAGGGGCAAAAAAAAAGCTTAAAATGCCACCCACTACATTAAGGGCTCACGTCACCATGGTGACCGGTAGTTTCACAGCTCCCATTTCAAGCGTTTGTCTGAGTTAAGGCTTCCAAAGCTGCACCGTTCCTGGCAACAACCTGCAGCWAGACTCCCAACCCCTCCGCGCCTGGTTCCTTCGCACCTACGTGAGACTCGGCTCTATGATTGGCTGCCGTCCTCCGCAGGGGGGCCGAGACCCTAAAAGGAGGAGAAATAATGGAACGACAGGAGCTTTGGGAGCCTTTATCAGAAAAACTGTCCCCATCACCCGCCCCATCCCTAAAGAAACAAAAAGAAGCGAGGCTTCAGTAATGGCTATGGTCCATTGTTTATCACTCCAATCCTTTAGTGTTCCACTTATAAAACAATTCAAAATAAAAGACATGAAGGAATCACTTGTCATTAGGCAGCAATGTTGGTCTCAGTGTTATTACAATTCTGCTTTAAAAAAAAAGCAAAAAAAAAAAAATCAACATACAAATAAAATCACATTTTAAAAAAATTAAGGATGAACCTAATTTAGGACCAAAGTATGGGTGAAATGGCTGATTTTTATGTAAGCACAAAGCTTTTAGAACACAACTGAGAGAGTTTCTCACGTTCCACCAGTTTCTTTGTTCGTCGCYGACTTTCATTGCGTCCAGGAGGAAACGACCGAGGAATTCACAGACTTGAGTTCCATTTCTCGCGCTCCATGTCGGGCCCACAGGAAATGCGAGGGATGCAAGAGGAGAAGCGCGGCGACGGGAGCTGAACGACTTAAAAAAAAAAAAAAGATCCCTCCCCTCTTCCGCCATCCTGTTCAGGAACAAATGATGGGAGCGCGACAAGGAAACGCGGAGAGGRGGGGCGTGTGTGGGGTGGGGGGAAAGGGCAGGCAGGCGCCAATAACAACTGGGCAAAGCTCAATAATGAGAGCTAGATTCCTGCTACCCCCAACCTCTGCCAGTCTGTCGTGGGTTTTGGGGTCTTTTGAAGCGGGCACGTCTTTCCGCGGATGGAAAGTGTGTGAGTTTCACATTACGTAATGCATGTTTGTTCTCGCTCCGCTGCTACCAGCGGTTGATGATCTGGTTCATGTAGTCCTCSGTGGGGAGTCTGATGCCCGCCTCCTCCGTTCGGCCCCCCTCCTCGCCGTCCTCCCGCTCCTCCCTCTCCACCCGCTCCCCCTCCCTGTCCTCCTGAGTCGACTCCGAGATGGTCCGGCCGCGGGGGGGCCACAGGCCGACGCCCGGGCCGAGGCCCTGGCGGCTCTGTTGCAGGTGGTTCTTGATGCGCTGCTGCCGCCGCTCCTTCTGCCGCGTGTACTGGTAGCGCTGCTGGAACAGGTCTCTGGCGTAGTCGTACAGCTCCATGTCCAGCTCGTTCAGCTCCTCGATGCGCTGCACCTGCGGGGGGAGGGGAGCAGAACAAATGTTTACATTGACCGGTGGATGAGAAAAAGAAAAAAACCTCAAGAGGAGATAGGAAGGAAATTGGAAAAGTAATTGTTTTCAACAGAAGTACAGAACAAACGAATTACAAGTTTTTTTTCTTTGTTGATATTTCGCAAGGAAAGATTTTAGGTTTTCCATCAGCGCTCTACAGAAAAGTTGCCCCCGAGGCTACTGTCTGTATTTCAGGGCATCAGATCAAGCTCTAAGGTTTGCTGGTGCTGAAAGTGTTGACTGTGCAGCTTACATCCAGTGGGTCATTTTATTGTGCTAAAATTGGCTTAGAATAAAACAAAAACAAAAAAGCTGCTTAAACACGCTGAAATTAAGATTTCAGACTTTTCTTCTGTTGATAATAGGACTGAGCATCAATTCCCTAAACTGATTCAGTKTCATAAGGTTTGGAATCGATTAATTTTAATTGGATTCGATTCAATTAACYTGGACTCAGTTCCTCCTGCGCACTAGATCTGCTCTTAAATAATGAAAATGGCTCAACTATGTTGCAAAATGGAATTTTACTTTTTTTGTTCTCTTCAGCACAAACAGCAGGTTTTGAAGGCAAACTTAAAAATTGGACAGTTTAAACTTGAACTGCAAACAAAGCTGTCTCAAAGGTGTTTMAATTAGAAAGAAACGTGAACTACATAATTCCATCACTGTAGATTTCATTAAGACATTGTTTCTTAAAGTGTAAAAATAATAATAGYGGTAACAAAAATAAACAATTTCTKCAGCATGTTGTCTATTGCACATTTATACATCCTGGGGATAACAGTTTCAGTCAGATGTTTATGTTGCACCATAACATAGTTTGGTTTGAGCACCTGAATGAGCCGCTTGAAGCTTTCATTTTCCACTGCAGAATAAATAAAAACCTTTCCAAACCAAAGTTGCGGTGGTTCCGACTTGTTGACAGAAGCTAACGCTGGTGCAAGTGACAAAACATAACATGCCTCTGCTTCACCACGCAYGAGACTACTGAGGTTAACGTCATGGTGGAAAATCGATTTCATGCTCTATGAATCAGTATAGAAAAACTTAAACTAAATTGATCCAAGACTTATTTATTTATTTTTTCCCTAGCCCTTGTTGACAAGAATGTCCATCATCTTCTGCTTTTTCTATTGCAGAGGCAACAGGGCCAGGAGAGAAACCCAGACATCTTTCTCCCCAGTTACATTTTCCAGCTYCTCCTGGGGCATCCCAAGGCATCCCCAAGTAATATATAATCCCTCCAGGGAGTTCTGAGTCTGCCTCCTATCACAGGAACATGCCTGAAAAACCTGTAAAGGGTGGAGGCATCCTCATCAGACGACTGAACCACCTCAACTTTCAACGTGAAGGAGCAGCGGCTCTACTCTAAGCACCACCAACATGAAGGAGCTCCTCAYTTTATCTCTAAAGGCTCAGTTATAGTTGAGCTTACGTTGGTGCAGTATTCTCTGAAAGGCTGTGTGGCAGTTCCCTTCTTAACATGTGAAATGTAAAAAGGAGATCAAATGCTCGACGGACAAACAAAGTAACAAAATGAATAGAATGGAGGGTGGTACGCTATAAACCTAGCTTAAGGCTGAGCCTGGCCACCCTACGAAAGAAGCTCATGTCGATGGTTTGTATTTGGGATCTTGTTTTCGTGGTCATAATCCAAACCTCATGACCATGGGTGAGGGTTGGAACGTAGACAAACCAGTAAATGAAGAGCTTTGCCCTTTGACTCAACCTASTCTTTCCCACGACCAGTGGTGGGTATAGTTTCCCTAAAGCACWAATAGGCGAACTAATTTCTTGATTAGTGCTTTAGGGCTTTTGCTGTTTTTTAAATTCATTAGTGGATTAGCACTTGCTAAGTTTATGGGCTAAATTTAGAAGCACTAACTGAGATCTTTAAACATTATTGATCAACATTATTGTTCACAGTTGAGCGTGAAAGCTGTCATACATTTGTGTCACTTATCTACAAGATCGCATGTCAAACTCATGGCCCACGGGCCAAATATGGCCTGTGGATGACTCTCATTTGGCCCACCAAGGGCACYAAGTGACAACATTCTGCACACAATAAATATTGTCTCATATKGGCTCTGAAGAATGTTCCATGTCTCAACTGGATTATTTTAGTGCTTTAGAATTAGTTTTTGCAAAAATWTTCAGTGCGTTAGTGCTTTAGAATTAGGGGACCTAAATATTTGAGTTAGTGCTTTAGGGCTAGTGCAACTAATATTTAGATCAGTGCTGCCCACGACTAACTGAAGCAACGCCCTCATTATGAAGGAAGAGGCCCAGATCTGTCGATCCATCTCCATTTTACCATCACTCGTGAACAAGACTCACTRATATTTAACAGGGGTGCAAAAATACATGTATCTGTATCAAACTGTTCAATAAAGTGAGAAAGGTTCAATACACACTTGCATCAAACAATACAGATTTTTAAATTTTAATTTATCAACCTGTCTTCTGAAGATGCAATGTGATGAAGGCTCAGTGGATTTGCGTTCGACTACTCCAACGAGGCTGCACTGTCGAGCGCAGATCTTCTGAGAAACTGTCTGTTTCAGCAACATTTAATTTAAAAACTGTACTTTTGAGGATAAACAAATGATCACAGTTAATTTAAATAAATTACAAGTTAAGAAGGGCGTGGAAATTTCTCTTTTTTTGTTTAGAAAAAATATCAAACCGTGAGACTTAAGTATCGAACCGAATCATGAATTTTCTGTATCTCCCCCCCCCCCGAATACTTAATCCTCTAATCAAGGCAAAGACTCTCACCCCTGACACGGGTGGCACATTCTACCTATTTCCTGTTGAGAACCATGGGCAAACCATCCCAGTGCACGTTGAAGGTTGCACTTTGAAGTCCTGAACACCAYAAACAGGACCAGAGACAAGGGACAGCCTTGTTTGAGTCCAACCTGCACCGGGAACGAGCTCCGCATTGTGTCAAGAATATGAACACAGCTTATAGCTCTTAGAAACCCTACAAAACCTCACTTGCCAAAAGAAAAACCCTGCTATCAAATATACATAAAGAAGAATAAGAGTGTAGCAGCTGCAAAAATATAACCATAATACTGTCTGTCTCACACATTGGACTCAAAAACACAAAACTGCTGGTGGTCCTGAGACGTTAAACTGCTTTCAAATCTTCTTCAGAGAGAAGCGTGTTTTGTAGAAACAACAGAAATGTGTCTCGTGTTAGCTCGTGTAATGCAGCTGGCTTTCCTGGAATCCATCATCAGCTGCGTGTGAGTCCAATACGGAGGGGATTGGGTTTAATGAGGAGAATCCCTTTGAAATCTGCGATCAGCTGCGACATGTCATGTGTGAGCAACATGTTCAACGGAGGGAGGCGACATGTTGAGCCCATGTTTGGAAATTAGATTTTGATCAGCAGCAGGAGGGACACGAGTTTGGATCCAGGGGGCTCTCAGCAACAAACCGTCAACTAGTTCTGAAGTCACAGCCGAGTTTGGGGTAAATATTTCTTTAAAACCATGTTCTGTAATTACTGGATAAAACTGGACATATTATAAACTACTTTAAAAAAAATGCCAAACACAAACTTTTTACATGCCAAACTCCAAATCCTTGCAATGTTAAAATTGGGACTTTCTTGTAATAATAACAACCATCCAGAGGCTCACAGCTGTGCATATTTTATTTTCCCTCCAAGCAGCTGAGTTTAATGTGTGAATCACCAGTCTGCCGTGTGCTGGAGAAAAAAAAAAAACGCAACTCAGGAAATTGAGCTTAAGAACTCCCACACTGGACCAATCAAAGTGTGAAGAACGTGTTAGAAGCTGCTGTTCGTTATCCCAATTCATTTTACAGCAATTATAAGACCAGTGTCGGCTCGGTTTTCCCATGTTCTCATTTTTCTGTTTACCACCCGTTTAGATCAGGGTTTGTTTAAACCTAAAAATATTTTCTTTTWTGAAATTTCAAGAATTAAAATACAAGGCTAACATGGTTCTTGAAGTACATCCCATGGTGCTTCTATGTAAGATTATTCTGAACATTTTTAACACAAAAAAATGTAGATCAGAATAGAAACTTATTAGTCAAGTATTCGCTTCCTAAAATCAGAGTAAATTATTTTATTTTCATTTCTACTTTCTAATTTGTGTTTTTCGTCTACAAGTTCATCATGAATCTGACCGTGGCGTTGTCCAGGTCCACCCCTGCAGCCCGAGTGCTGTTGTACTGCATGAAAGGCCTGATGAAGCGCAACCTGAAGGTCCGTTCAAAGAGGAACTGGGTTTTCCTCTGGTACTCGGTCAGACCAAAGAAGGCCATGTCACGCAGGTTCTTCTTGGCCGACTCCAGCAGCAGCTGGGCCCTCTTCTTCTCCGGYACCGTGGACATGTTGTAGCAGCCAACCAGACTCAAGTCTGCCAACATTCGAACCTGTGGGCGGAGGACAAGGTTCATCGATAAKGTTACAGCTTCACTTGTGCAGAACAGACCCACAAACCCACCGTTTACTGAAGGATGGAAAACACACACAAACAAAAAGAGGATTAGCCTGAGAGCGACCTCAATTATGAGAGTGCCTCTTGCACAAGAATCAAACAACAGCTTTTATTTTTTAATTTACTTTTTAAAAGTATATATAATACAGCCATCAAAAAACAGTACTGCGGTCCTATGAGGAGGTGAAGAGGTTTCAGGACTTTTCGGCAGACATTAGCTGCGTTTCCATTGCAAATGTGTGCAAAACTTTGTCGATATTCTGTTAATGTCGAAAAATCACAGTTTCGCAATTGCGGTGTTTCCTTTAAGTAAGAAATGCTATTAAAGTCACACGTGAATACGTTTGTTCTCACGATAAGTCATTACAAACATGGCGGCAATGGATGTAAACACAGCATAATTGCTACTACAGTACTAGTGCTCATCATCAGAGGAGACGTTGGCGTCTTATCGAGGCTTTCGAGCGACGAGCTCCTGATAGGAGCGACTACGTATGCTGTGTTTTTGGGAAAATGTAATCGGTGAGTTTACTACTTTCTTTTACAACTTCTGTGATTTTACTACTACTTTTACTTCCTGTTATCTTCTTCATTGTCGTCTCTTTCGCCAGTACAAACAGCTGGTTGTTGATCACGTGACTCCCATGATGCGAAAAAAGTGTTTCCATTGCAGTTTTGTGAAATACACCAATTTTGATACGGCCGAAAAACCACCTCATCCTAGCGCCAAAACATTTTGTCGAAAAACGTAATTTTTTTCGAAACTGACATGTTTCCACTGAGCAAATTTATTTTCGAAATTCTAAATTGCAGATTTTCATGGTCAATGGAAAAGCAGCTAGTGACAGAATTAAGACAGGGCTAGACCAAATGGACTCAATTTACAGGCTCTGACCGGCGGAGGAAAAAAAGTGTTCCAAGTGACACTTTGGAAACAAAGTCTGAGAACCGTGAGTGCCTTATGACTATTACTCTTTTATTTACTTGTTGGTGGTAAGTTTCAGGCGKTTGTGCTATGGTAACCCACCTGCATCAAGGCAACATGCTGTTATGTAAAAACTACTGAGACTGTGTAGATGTGAATCAGGTAAAATTGGGGCGAATTGACCCCTGTGGAGACTGGTCAGCATAAAAGCAGCTTAAGTCAAAAGGGCCTAGAGGCGGCGAGATGCCTTTAAGGTGTCAAGTGTTTCAATCAGGATGGTTCTGTGTGTGTGTGTGTGTGTGTGTTTGTGTGCGTGTGTGTTACATATACAAGTCAGAGGACCCTCAGTAGTACCACCCTCGGGTTCAGATGAGATAAGCTGGTCAAGGCGCCGAGGTGTGAGACTGAGATAACATGAGGAAAGAAGGTGAATCTGCTGTTTATGACCAGCAGGCAAACTCCTGACTGTGTAAACGTGTGTGTCTTCTGATGTGTGTGCAWCCCTTCTTACCCACCCAACCTTCTTTATTTTGAAGCAGTTCACTTAGCATCAAATTCACTTATGCAGCATTTTTTGTGTTAATATATTTTAATTTCTTCTGAAGAGATAAATATGACTGTGTCGACAGCATGAAGTGCAGAGATGCTGGTTAAACTGGAGATAAAAAGTGGTTGTTTTTGGTTTGTAATAAAAAAGATGCTCCAAAGTAACACTGAAGTGCTGAGCCTGTTGATTCTCTACAGTATGCATAAAACRGGGTTCATGCAGGTTTCATTAAGTTAAATTTAAGACCTTTTAAAGACCTTTAAAGACCATCAGGAATGACATTTAAGACCAAACCAACGCATTAATAGAAACATTCAAATGGTCTCAGAAATTTTAACACAGAAACCTTTTATTGCTATCAATTTAGGTATTAAAGGATATTTAATTTTAATACAAGAATACTAAATTATTTTAATAAAATGGTCATATCTATGAGACCTTCATATCRACTGCTGTGGACCGCTTCCAACGGAGTTAAAAAGATCACTGATATCAAGGAAAGTCTAATTGAAAACACACTTTCCCATGTTTAAGCAATAAGCAGTGGACATGACTAAACTGGTTTGTTTTTTGGGCAGGTTTATAAGCCGCTGTAGGCGGGGCGTTGTAGCGGCAAAGAGGTCGAAAACATGGAAGTAAACTGTGATGTTTTTTGCCTGCAGTTATGGCGGGATTTGTAGTTTAATACGTACAAAGACTGGTATCAAACTTCATAAAAGTAAAAAAAAATTAAGACTTGACAAAACAAATTTTAAGGCCTTGGATGAAAATCTGGGCGTTTTTCAGACTTTTTTAGGCCTAAAATTTAGATTTTCAAATTTTAGACATTTTTTAGACTGTTTAAGACCCRGAATGAACCCTGATAAGAAAACAGGCTAATACTGAAGCTGTGCTGTACTGTCACAACATTTCATTAAGTAAGATGAGGTGCTTTTTCCTCYGTACCTGTCTGTTGTTGGCCAGGTTGTAAGGACAGTCCATAAACTGCTGCAGTGTGCACCCCGACCAGTCTGACCCCTCRTAACAGGAAGGCAGCTCCTCGGGCGTTGGTGTTCGTCCATCGCACATGTGCAGGGAGGTTTTCCACGTAGCTCCCCGCTGCACGTGCCTCCACTCGCTGAGGTAGCGAGACACGGGATCTCTCAGCAGAGTGATGTAGTAGAACTTCCTGTTTGGCAAACAGAAAAAAAAAAACGGGAGAGGATTTGGGTTAAAGATCGTTACATTAAGGAAAGATCCAGAGTTTCTACAGAGATGAGAAAAGTTGAGCAAAAATTGATGCGACAAAGAAAACCACTTAATCACGTGTAATTCTACAAGCAGACCATGTGGGGGCACTGTTTGCAACACTTTTTGGCAAAAGTTTAGTCTTCATCCTGCCAACTCAGGGTAAGAGATGGAGGCTGTCATGCCGAGTCCATTATTATTTTCAGTTTTTCTAATAAAAAAAAAATCAGCTTCTGCCTGCAAAGAAAAAGATTTGCTGGAAGACAGGAAGTGGACCTGAAATAAGCGGGAGAGCGTGGAGGAGGACGGGGACGCAGCCTGTGCTGAGGCCACGCTGTGCAGGAAAAAGAAAACTGCTGGCACAAGCACAACTCCCTCTGCGGCACACATCTCCGCGCTGCAAAGCATCCTTGTGTCTCAGACTCCGACACACACACACACACACACACACACACACACACACACACACACAC